AATAGAATACCTCTTTTCTTTGGAGTTGGCTTAGGAGTTGGTTCAGGAAGTGTCCAATCATTATCAGTACTCAATATATTATTCAGTAACAATTCAACTTGCTCTACAGTTTGTTCCCTAAAAACACAACCAATACAACTATCTAGGTGGTCTCTGGAAGCATCGGTTAGTCCATTAAAAAAGATATCAAGTATTTCATTTTTCTTGAGAGGATGATCAGGCAAAGCATTAAGTAATTGGAGAAGCCTCCCCCAAGCTTGTGGGAGATCCTCTTCTTCAATTTGCACAAAGTTAAATATTTCTTGTAAGGCAGCTTGTTTCTTATGAGTAGGAAAATATTTTGCCGAGAAGTAGTAAATCATATCCTGGGGACTACGCACACAACCAGGAGCAAGAGAATTAAACCATATCTTAGCATCGCCCTTTAATGAGAAAGGAAACAACTTAAGAATATAGCAATAGCGAATTTTTCCATCATGAGCAAATAAGGTGGCTATATCATTCAATTATGAAGATGTGCCACAACAGTTTCAGATTCATAACCATGGAAAGGATCAGATTCAACCAAAGTAATTAACTCAGGATCGACAGAGATTCATAATCCTTATCAGTAACACGGATAGGTGAAGTAGAAAACTTAGGGTCATATTGCATTCTAGCATTCAAAGACTTTTCTTTCAGCTTAGCTAACAGTTTCTTAAGATCATCTCCATTGCAAGCAAGAAAGTCTCTAGCAGTTTCTTCATCCACAATATAACCCTCAGGTACAACAGGCAATTCATATGTAGGGGGAGAATCATAATCTTCGGTTTCAATAATATCATTAGTTTCAGTAATTTCATTCTCTCTAACCCTAGCAAGTTGTTCATCAAGAAATTCACCTACTGGCACAGTATTATCAAGAAAAGAAGTAGTATCATCATAAGCATCATGCATAGCAGAAGTGGCATCATCAATAATATGCGACATATCAGAATCAATAGCAGGTGTAGGTGTCGCAAGTTTACTCAAAACAGAAGGTGAATCAACTGGAGAGCAAGATGGAAGTTTCTTACCTCCCCTCGTAGTTGGGGGAAAAATCTTGGTTCTTTGATCTTTCAAATTTCTCATAGTGATCAATAGATATAAATCCCAAGTGACTCAGAGAAGAGAGCTATGCTCCCCAACAACGGCGCCGGAAAAAGGTCTTGATAACCCACAAGTATAGGGGATCGCAACAGTTTTCGAGGGTAGAGTATTCAACCCAAATTTATTGATTCGACAAAAGGGGAGCCAAAGAATATTCTCAAATATTAGCAGCTGAGTTTTCAATTCAACCACACCTGGAAGACTTAATATCTGCAACAAAGTAGTATGGAAGTAACAGTAACGTGGCAAAAGTAACAGTAGCAGTTTTGTAGCAATCGTAACAGTGGCAACGGAAAAGTAAGTAAGCAAAGATCAATATGTGAAAAGCTCGTAGGCAATGGATCAATGATGGATAATTATGTGGGATGACATTCATCATGCAACAGTTATAACATAGGGTGACACAAAACTAGCTCAAATTCATCAATAATGTAGGCATGTATTCCGAATATAGTCATACGTGCTTATGGAAAAGAATTTGAATGACATCTTTTGTCCTACCCTCTCGTGGCAGTGGGTCCTACTAGAAACTAAGGGATATTAAGGTCTCCTTTTAATAGAGTACCAGACCAAAGCATTAGCACTTAGTGAATACATGAACTCCTCAAACTACGGTCATCACCGGGAAGTGTCCCGACTATTGTCACTCCGGGGTTGTCGGATCATAACACGTAGTAGGTGACTATAACTTGCAAGATAGGATCAAGAACTCACATATATTCATGAAAACATAATAGGTTCAGATCAGAAATCATGGCACTTGGGCTCTAGTGACAAGCATTAAGCATAGCAAAGTCATAGCAACATCAACCTTAGAACATAGTAGATACTAGAGATCAAACCCTAACAAAACTAACTCGATTACATGGTAAATCTCATCCAACCCATCATCGTCCAGCAAGCCTACGATGAAATTACTCACGCACGATTGTGAGCATCATGAAATTGGTGATGGAGGATGGTTGATGATGACAATGGTGATGATTTCCCCTCTCCGAAACCCAAAACGGATTCCAGTTCTGCTCTCCCGGAGAAGAACAGGAGGCGGCGGTGGCTCCGTATCGTCAAACGCAATGAATCCTTCTCTTTAATTTTTTCCGGAACATGAATATACGGAGTTGGAGTTGTGGTCGGCGGAGGTCTGTGGGACCCACAAGACCAGAGGGTGCGCCCTCCACCCTTGTGGACAGGGTGTGGGTCCCCTCTGGTTGATTCTTTCGCTAATATTATTTATTTATTTCAAAAATAATCTCCGTGAAGTTTCAGTTCATTCTGAGAAATTTTATTTCTGCACAAACACCATGGCAATTCTGCTAAAAACAACGTCAGTCCAGGTTAGTTCCATTCAAATCATGCAAATTTGAGTCCAAAACAAGGGAAAAAGAGTTTGAAAAAATTGATACGTTGGAGACGTACCAGGGGTTCAACCATCTCCTTAATGAACTCACATAAACCAATGGCATGAGATCATATTTAACAACAATCATTAGTATCACTAACCACATTGCCATCACATCAAAATACAATTTAGAGATAAATGCACTTTATCTCCCTCTTTTTGCGGTATTGATGACAATAGGGTTAGAGCATGGAAGAGAGTATAAATGATGAATGAAGCCATGCAACTCTACAGATATAAGGACCCCTCCCCCATGATGTTTGCATATGCCATGCAATGCCTTTATCCTCTAACGATGAATGAAGCCATGAAACTCTACCGCTGGTGTGCGTCGATTTTTCATCCTATTGTCCATTGCTAGTACCTGCGTCCTCGTCAATGGCGTCCCTGACCCTCCAATTTGGCACTACAGAGGGCTTCGTGAGGGTGACCTATTGTCATTCATATTCTTCGTGTTCATCATTAACATCCTGAACTCGCTCCTTTAACGGTCCATTTCCTTGGGGATCCTCCAGTGGCTCACCCCTCGCCACATGGCCTCTAGTGTCTCTCTCTACGCTGATAACATGGCGATATTTTGCCACCCGAACCCTCAAAACTTGAGTGCCATTCATCAGCTTTTCCAGATCTTTGGGATTGCCTCGGGTCTAGCGACGAACCTATCCAAGAGTTCGACCACCCCCATCCGTTGCTGCCTCAATGACATTGACGCCATCCGTGATCTGGTGCCATGCCCGAGCACCGAGTTCCCCATCAAGACCTCATCCTCCTGTCTTGATGCGTAAGCCGCCCTCGACCGCTCGACAACCGCCGCTAGACTAACTCAAGAAGGAGCTCCCCACTTGGAAGGCAAGCCTCTTGAAAAAGATTAGGCATCTACTACTTTTTTGACATGTGTTTAGTGTCATCCTAGTGCACACCTTGATGGCCATCTCCACGGATGCGACTACCCTCAAGCTTGCTTATCATATCTACTGCGGCTTCCTCTGGTTCGGGTGCAAGGATACCAACGTAGGTTACTGCTTCATGAATTAGCAATGCGTGTACCAGCCGCTCCATATCAGAGGGCTCGACATCCATGACTTCCGTCGTATGGGCATCACACTCCATGCCCGGTGGTTTTGGCTCTATAAGACCGACGCATCCCGCCCATGGCGCCATCTTCCACGTGTGAACCTCCTGGCATGTTGGTAACGGGGAATCATGCCTTTTTAGAGGATCGCGGGCTGTCTGGCTAATCGGTCACTAAGATTGCCCCGCTCTCCTCGAGCTGGTGTTTGTCGCCGGAGATGCCACATTGTCGTTGAGGGGCTTCATCAGCGAGCTTGGACTCGCGACATCCATTACGCTCCTGGACTTGTTGCACCTGTCAAACACATGGAGCTTTGGCATCGGTTGCATCAACTTAAGCTCACGACAAAGTCGAATCACCCTTCTTGGAATATTTGTGGCAGCGCTGCCTACACGACACGCTCCTGCTACTATGCATTGTTCTTTGGGGCCACTAGCCATTACTCATGGTAGCTAAATTGTCGCACTTGGGATGTCCTGTGATCGAAGTTCTTCATCTCGTTGGCACTACAAGATCGTTGATTTATGGTTGACTGCTTACTTTTTCGTGGCCTCCCGCACGCTCCACGCCGCGTTCTGTGCAACTAGAACCCTGTGACGATGAACCACCTACTCGTGGACTACCCCTTCACCTGTTAGGTGTGGCCCACGTGCTTGCCTGGTGCAGATCGATCTCTCACCGCCCGACGTAACTGTTGGTTTTCTGGATTGGTGGGCAATGTCTTACAACGTTTCCCCGTCCGGACATCGTAAGGTCCTCCCCACCATGATCATACTCTCTGCATGGTGAATTTCGATGCTCGCAATGCATGTGTCTTCACCTTTGAGTTATCGTCTGGCCTTCGTGTGACTCAAACTATTCGATCCGCGTCTTCACCTGTTGTCGTCTGCCCCTCGTGTGTCTGCCCCTCGTGTGACGCAGACTACACGTGGCAAGACTAGTTAGTGGGCGCTGACCGAGGCAACGTCCTGGACTACAATCTTCTTAATCTTCTCCTATCAATAAAAAGATGCACACATCTGTTGTGTATTCGTGGAAAAAGATCGCACGGGGAGAATAATTATAAGTATACATATTCCTGTTCCAATGGTACCGATACCATGCACATCTCCCAAACAAGACAAAGGTATAAAAAAGCAATGTAAACAAAAAACCCAATTTCCAAATCAATCGCATATACACAGCTTAGTTCAAATCCGTATACACCAAGAGTACTCTCTGCGTCCCTCCTCGAACACACCGGGGCTCCCGCGTCTCATCGCCGCCGTCCGTGACTCCTTGTGCACTACTGATATCTTCCATCCAACGGCTATGAGTATCTCCTGCCGATAGATTCCGGCCGCTACCCCGATCGATTTCATCCCAGCGCCAAACCACACGTACAGCCACGGAGCCGGATTCTCAGAACGGCTTGCCCCAGTACATGAGGATGTCCTGGAGGAGCGGGTCGCCGGCGGGGAGCCCGGCCGCCGGGTCGAGCATCAAGCCGGCCGGGTTGACGCCCGGGGTGGCTGTGGCGAACGTGCGCTCCCACTCGGAGATCTTGGGCTGGCTCTGCACCTCCGGCCGCTCGCACGACGCCGTCAGCACGTGTTCCGAGCAGCTCGAGTCCGCGTGCGCCCGCGGCATCGAGTCCGACGGCCTCACCTCGTAGTACGCCGCCAGGTCCGAGAACGGCTGCGGCGCGTATGGCGGCAGCAGGGCCGGTTTCTGCTCCGGCGGCGAGCCGACGGCCGCGTGCCCGGGGCTCGCGCTCGCGGTCCGGTCACCGGCGCTCGGCCTCTCCGAGGCGCCTTTCTTGTTGTAGATCCGGCAAAGCACCCAGTCATCCAACTGCAACGACCACAAAAAGATCGATCGACGTACATGATCAGAACAGAAATCATACCTCTAATATTAACATTCCAACATGAATCCATCATCATAAACTGATTAGTCACGAACGAATTTCAATCCATATGATCGGAAGGTGCTATTTGATTGGATATTTTCGTATCGATTATAAAACGAGTCGCTATCGCGGCGCACAAAGCGCGAGAGATAATTGGCGGGCGGAAGAGATGACGCACGCCAGCATCTCCACCGTTCACACCCGCGAGAAAGCGAGCTGCCCGTGACAAGGATCATAAACAATTAATTAAGCCCCACTTATCTTCCACGTACGATCGATACGTGACGATAACCAACTCCTTATCTAATCGTTCGACATGATGCCAAAGAGGACAAAGTTAGAGGGACTGATTGAAGATGATTCTCTGCACAGTTCGAGCCACCTACTGTTAGCAGGTCAGAGGGCAGGGGGGAGCATAGTGCGTACCCTGAGGCTGTTCTTCTTGCGGGCGGAGCGGTCGACGTCGGCGAGGCGGTACTCGTGCATGATCCAGTTGGTCTTGTCGCCCTTGGGCGCCTTCCCGGCATAGAAGACGAGCGCCTTCTTGATGGCCAGGGGCTTGGGCGTGCCCACCGGCTTGTCGGCGCCGGTGGCCTTCCAGTAGCCCGTGCCGGCCGACCGGTTCGGCCGCGACCCGTTCGGGTACTTGCGGTCGCGCGGGGAGAAGAAGTACCACTCCTTCTCGCCGTAGAGCGCCATTCCTGCACGCACACGCAGATGCAAAAACGATTAGTAAATCATACTGCCACGCGAGCGTTCATGCATGCATGCATGCATGCTGCGCCGGGGCATGGAAGACGTACTCGGGAGCTGCCATGGGTCGAACTTGTAGAGGTCGACCTCGGCGATGATGGGCACGGAGATGGGCAGGCCGGCGCACCGCCGGCACAGGTAGTGCATCACCAGCTCCTCGTCCGTCGGATGGAATCTGAACCCCGGCGGCAGCTGCAGATCCTGCTGCCCCTGCGTCGCCGCCGATCCTCCGCCGCCGCCGCCGCTCATCTCCTCGATCCTTCTTCTCGCTCGATTGTAGAGCTAAGCTAGCTACTCGAATCCGACAGCTCCAAACTGCTGCGATAAACCAGATATCGATAAGCAGAAACAGCTAGACCGGACGATCGAAGGGCTTCTTCTTGTCCTGGAAGGGGCGGGGAGAGCATGAAACCATGCGCAGTGCGGCACGCGCGGCATATATAGAGCGAGCGCGCGCGGGCGCGCCGAGGGGATGCCGCTCGTGGCGAGACGTGGAGGGCATCCGACGGTCGGGCGCGGCTTTTGTCACTGCTTACGCCAGGGCGCTTGGACGCGCACGCGCGCGCGCGGCCGGGGCGCGGCCAGGAGCGGCGAGGCGGCAGTGTGGGGCCCGTTCCCGGTGCAACGGCGGCTCGATCACGTGGACAGGTGTTCCATTTCGGGTTAGTTTGCGAGCCCCACGACGGAACATGCGCCCGTTGCCGGCGCGACACGTGGTGGAGGGGCTGCCAAAGCGGAAAGGTACGTACTCCCGCCGGGGACGGGCGGGGGCGGACCAAGCTCAGAATGTACGGATCCCCATGGGTGTCAGTTGGAGCGTAGGACAAGATTAGGGTTTTCCTTTATTTATTTTTTGGGACTCTAATGTAACTGCAGTGTTGTTGTATACGGTTGTATAGGTCGTGTGTGGTCGTCTCTTCGGGGCCCCAAGGGCTGAGGCGCGTACATGCTCTGTGCTCGTCCACGTTTTAATGCCCACTCCATGGAGCAAAGAGTGCGTGACTCACGTTAGAATGCCAGCCGCGAACATAAAAACGCTTGCCACCACAACACTTCTTCTAGGCACTTCATTGTTGTACTTTTTCGTGAAAAAGACTCGGCCCTATTTGTCAGGACCCCGATCCTGAGTCACACCGATCTAGCATGTAACACATCATATCACTTTGCGGCCTCATGCACGGTATTCTCACGGGTGCCACCTTACCTGGCCTGGGACCGTTTGCGCCTTTTGGTTCACGTATATGATAGTGCCGCTAGCATCCATATGACAAAGAACCCGGGCTGACATGGCTAGTCGTGAACCCAAAGTGGCACTAACTTACAGGGACAGACATACATGACCCAACAACGAACGTGTCGGTCATCAGCGAGTGAATCCGGGCTGTAGCAACTGGGCTAGCAGGACTCCGATAAACCGGGCTGTAGCGGGCTAACAAGACTCCGGTATTCATCGCGTGACATTTCCCCGAAGGGACAGACACAGGAACGAAGAAGGACACATGCCGGCCAGCCTAAGTGTTTCGGAGCAGTAGCAAGCTACCATGGCTAAGTGGAAGCACTAGGAGACATTTCCCAGTAAGAGAGGCTACTAAGGATAAACAACTAGATAGTCAGATCCCACACATACCAAACATTTCAATAACATACACACAATATGCTCGATATGTGCAAATACAACATGGCATCACAACATGACTTTATGACTCAAGTATTTATTCAATAGGCTCCGAGGAGCGAGATATTACAATCATGGGTCTCATGACCCAACAATCAGAGCATACAAGTCAAAGCACATGCGGAAGCTTAACATGTCCGAGTACAGACATCTACAAATGAAAAGGGCTGAGAAGCCTGACTATCTACCAGATCCTGCCGAGGGCACAAGATCGTAGCTGAGATAACAAGCTAAACGTCGAAGTCCACGCGGTACTACTAGCGAGACTGAAGTCTCTCTGCAAAAACATAAATTAAGCAACGTGAGTACAAATGTACCCAGCAAGACTTACATCAGAACTAACTACATATGCATCATTATCAACAAAGGGGATGGTGGGGTTTAACTGCAGCAAGCCAGCTTTGACTCGGTGGCTAACCTGAACTACGACTGCAAGTAACTCCTTTGAGGTGGCGCACACGAGTCCACATATTCACCATATCAATACACCACTATGGATTCGCTCCCGTCTCCCTACGAGAACGCCATCCATAGCACTCACGCTTATCTTGCGTATTTTAAAGTATCCACTTTCACTTGTCTATGAACTGTACAGGCAACCCAGAAGTCCTTTACCGCGGACACGGCTATTCGAATAGATAATGTTAACCCTGCAGGGGTGTACTTCTTCACACACGCTCTCGCCACTTACCGCCATGTACACCTCGTGTATCTCGGCAACCTTCAAGCGGAAGCCTAGCGAGGGAGTCGGCCACGACCTGACTAACCACACAAGTCTCTCGTCCAGGTTTATCGCCTATTCGGGTTCCATCCGCAAGGAGATCCGGCCGGGGTGTCTCTCACGGCCCCAAACGATGTGTGCAGGGTTCCCAAGTCCACCATCCGGGTGCCACTTGGTACACCGGGCCACTGTGCCTAGTCTGTCCCAAGCCCACCTGTACCGGGTGCCACTTGGTAGACTACTAACACTACCTACAAACACCAGAAACTATTTGCAACTCCTGGATAGAGATCAAGTTGATTAATAAGTCGAGAGGGGCACTTAAGCATTCCAATGCATGGTAGTAGCTGGTCATGGATCACAAATACAGAACTCAGTTCTTGAGGACGGCTGCAATGAGACAACCCACCAGGTACTCCTACATGGCCTCTCACCGCTACCTTTACCAAATCGTGTTCACACACTTAGCTCTCAACAGTAGGACATGTTCACACCACCTCCGATTCATCCCCCATGAATCAGACCTGACACAACTCTAAGCAATAGCAGGCATGACAACAAGCATGAATGAGTAGGCACATCAGGGCTCAAACAACTCCTACTCATGCTAGTGGGTTTCATCTATTTACTGTGACAATGACAGATCATGCAAAGGATAAAGGGGTTCAGCTACCGTAGCAAGTAACAGATGAATTGATGTTGTCCTAATGCAGTAAAAGAGAGCAGGGGCGAGAGAGTGGGATTTTATCGGAATGAACAAGGGGGTTTTGCTTGCCTTGCACTTCTGAAGATAATATAGCTCTTCATCGGTGTCATCGAACTCATCGTCGGTATCACGTCTATCGAGAGGGGACAAACACCGGCAACAAGGAAGAACACAATCAATGCAATGCACAATATGATGCATGATCATGACATGGAAATATGCTATGGTTTGAGCTAATGCAACTAGCAACAAGTTAAATGAAGTTGATTTGAATCCAAGATTCAAATCTAAACTCCATATGTGAAGGTTTAAATGCCATTATATGATTTGTGCTAAACAGCAGCTATAAGTTGTTCTAACATGCATGAAAATGGTACAAATGGATAGATTGGATTTTTCTGATAATTTTTCATATATAAATTATTTCATTTGGAGTTACGGTTGAATTTATATGAATTTTAGAAGTTTATACTATTTTCTGGAATTTCCTAAAAAGAATAAATCCAGAAAATGATTTATGGCGTCAGCACCACGTCACTGTGACGTCAGCAGGTCAACAGGACGGTCCGGGTCAAACCTGACATGTGGGGTCCACACGTCAGTGACACAGCTAATTAACAGGGGTTATTGCTAATCTAATTAAAAGATTAGGGCTCCGGGGCCCACTGTCAGTGTCATAGGTGGGGGGGTTAGTGCTAACTAACTCCTGGCCGGTGGGGTCCACCTGCCAGGCCGGCGAGGTCGTCGCCGGCGACCACGGGGCACGGCGGTGTCCGGGTTACAGGCCACGGGGGCGGCGGCTAAGGGCACTGGGGCGTAGCAAGGGCTCTCGCGCATCCAGGGGAGGCGACGGGAGGACGCGGGGTGGCCGGAGCTCGCCGGAGCGGAGCTCGGGGCGGCGGCCGAAACACGGCTCCGGGCGGGATGTGGCTGCAGGGCACGGCAGGGGCTGCGGAGGGCCTCTACGGCCTCCTGGCATCACCAGGAGCACGGTGACGTGCGCGGGAGCGGCTGGCTCGGGTTCTGGTCACGGTGGCGCCATGGACGGCGGCGAGGTGCTCGCGGGTTCGACAGGTAGCAGGCTACGGCGCGCAAGCAAAGGAAAGGAGAAGGGGAAACGGACAGTGAGCTCACGTGGATCCCGTAGAGGTGGACGGCGAGCTCGGGGAAGGCCGAACGGCGACGAATTCGACGGCGCGATCCGCGGCACCGACGAGGAGGACGACGTCGAGGGCAGCTCTGCAGGGCATCCCGGCTTGCGTGAGTCGTCATAGAGGTCGGGGACGGCAGCGCGGAGCTAATGGTCTCGTCGGAGCGGCGAGGTAGTGGCGGTGGGCGTGGCAACAGTGTGCGGCGGCAAGGGCAGCGCTCGTGCGCGGTGAGAGAGAGCGAGGGAGAGAAGGGGAAGGAACGAGAGAGAGTGAGAGAGGTGCGGGGCGTCTCCGTGGCGCATCCAGAAGAGCCGGGGCGTCGCGGTGGAAGCAGGAGCTGGCGCACACGGGGCGACCACGCGCCCTGCCTACTGGCGTGAGGAGGAAGACGACAGAGGAGGCTGCGGTGGCGGGCTGGGCTGGCTTTGGTGGGCTGCACAGGTAGGTGGCCAGGTAAGTGGCCCAGGTAAGCGTTCTCTCTCTCTCTCTTTTCTAAATTGTTTCTGTTTTCTATTTTCTGTAATTGTGTTTGGCTTTAATAAAAATGCCAGGGCATTTCCAAAAATCATGAAACTGCTTAATGTCACTGTTTGGAATATTACCAACAACAAACATTTCAGTTTGTGATTATTTGAGCATTTAAAATATTATTTAGCAATTAAATGCCCAAATGCAAATAACATATGATTTAATTCAAAAATCTAGAATGGCCTAGAAAAATGTGCACCATTTTCTGGAGAGGTTCTAGACTAATCCAAAAATGATGAACTTTTCTGAAGGGCATTTTGGGTTCATTGAGAATATTTTTTTATTTTAACCTAGTTGATTTGATCTGGTGCTAGGGTTTGAGCAATCCCCATTTCAACTTTCAAATAAATTAGACATGATGCAACAACCAAGCTAGTCCTAGTGCATAGCAAGGCTAGGGATGTGACAACTCGCCCCCACTAAACAAGAATCTCGTACCGAGATTCAAGCGTAGGGTAGGATGAAGGG